CCGTGATCCCCGCGACTCCCGCTCCGTGGCCCGCGCTGGGTAGCAGCCCTGTGCGCCACAGGCAGGCCACCTTGCGTCCTGCTGCGTGCTGCAGCGCGGTGATCCGCCCTCGGCGCCTCGCCAGCGCCTGCAGGCGGATCCTGCTCTGCCGCCGCTCCATCCTGCGGCCTCGAGGTCGTGGCCCAGGTTCGGCGCCCAGCGCGGCCGCTGCAAGCCCCTCGAGCCCGCGTGCCGCTTACTAGCGAGCGCGAGGCCAATCGAGGACATCAGGAAGCCCGACGTGGCTGGCTGCGCGATGATGCCAAGCGCCTTGGCCTCCTCACGGAAGCGGGTGACGGCGGCCCACAGCGACTGGATGCTGCGGCCCGCCTCGCCGACTTACTGCAACGTGACGTCGTCCACCAGCACCCTCGGCGTGGCCCCCATGCCGCGGGTCCGCTCCAGCAAGCGATGCAGCAGCGGAGACGCCGGCGCGCGCGCATGCATACATCCCGCAAGCACCCCTGGACCGAAACCACTTCGTACGAGATCGATCTGAACGCCTGCAGCCTACGCGGCTGCCGGTACAGCTCGATGAGAAGCCATGCCAGGGGCAGCGGCTTGCGCAGCCACCGCGCCTCCTGGAGAAGGGCTGCAAGGACCGCTGTCTCAGAGAACTTCCAGGCGTCCCTGGGGGCCGCGATGGCCTGCTCCCGGAGGTTGGCCGCGGCCTCCGTCTCCAGGTTCAAGTCGAATGTCGCGTCGGATGATGACCTGCCAGCTCCCAGCCCCCAGATGTCCACGCTGGGGTGCTGCCGTAGCCGGCTCCTGGAGACCGCCGCGCGCGCCCGCGATCACCACCTCGCCAGAGTGTGCACGAGGGTGATGAATCGGCATCCGCCCGACGGCTTCGGCAGCCGACGCATGGCGTGCCAGCTGAGGCGGCCCTCAGGCCAGGCCCCGAGCCTCTCCAAGCGCATGAACAGCCGAGCGCACGCGTATATGCCCTCGTCCGACAGGAAGCTCAGGGCCCTCATGCCGATCTTGGCTGGCCCTATGGCCGTTCTGCATGGGAAGGGGGGCGCCGCCTGCCTCGGCTGCCCGACCGCGAGCTCGGGCATCGGCTCCCGCTCGCCGGCGTCAAGTGGCGCGCCCAACGGCTGCAGCCCACGGCGCCGCCACACCTTCTCCCGTGGGTTCGCTTGGCCCGTCTTGCGGACCATCTAGGGGTCGCTTGTTCGACCGAAAGCCGTCTTCCGCCGGACTCCTGCCGGCGTTCGTCGCGCGGCCGGGGCCGTGTCCCGGGGGGGGGCCCCCCAGACCCTCTAGGGGAACGATAAACAGGGGCCCCTCCGCAAAGTCGGGGAAATTCTAAGGCGCCGAAGCCGCCCGTGGGCGTCCCGAGAGCGGGTCGGTTCTCAGACCGAGGGCAATTCCGCCGGTCCGCGGGCGTGGCGCCGCAGACGACACCGCCCCTCGGACCTGGAGGTTTGCGCGCGAAGCCAGACCTGAGCCCGGGGCAGGCAGGCCCGCAATAGTTAATTGCGCAAGGTCGCGCGCGGGCCCAGCCGAGATCGTCGCGGCTGGCGCGAAGGTGCGCTCGCAGGAAACGCGCCGCACTGCGGCGGACGTCGTTCGGTCGAGCGCCGCGCCGCGCCCTGCGCGGCGCCCTGTCGCGGAACGGCAAGCCCAACGGCCCCGTGGGGTGCCGTTTGCCCTGCGACGGCCCGCGCCATGTACAGCGCCCTGCCAAGGAACGGCAGGCGCTCGGCCCCGCGGGGGCGTGGCCCCCCCCGAGCCTTGACCCAGCGACGCAATTGGCGCCGACGAAGCCAGGCAAGGCCGCCTGCGGTGAGTGGCCAGCGCGCTCGAAGCTGGCCATTCGCTGTTCGCCCCCGACGTGTAAAGCACCCGCGTCTCTAGATCGCCCGTTTCCGAAAAAGGCTTCGCCCTCCTCCAGACAGGGCCATTTTCTGGGGCATCGGCTACCGGTGTCTGGCCGCTATCGCCCCTTTGGCACCTCGCCGATGTCGGCTACTGCTCCATTGTCTTTCTGCCTCTGGGCCCACGCTCGCCCATTTGGCTTGCCGCCCCCCACTGGGCGTAGCCTCCCTGCCCGCCGCCAGCTGGCGCTCGGTGCCGCCGCCCCCCCCCCCGCCTTCGTGCTGCCCTGGGCCCGCCGCCCCCCCCACTTGGCGGTGCCCCGCTCCATCTTTGCCCTGGGTGACGCGCCGCGCCCCGCCAGGCCGTCGGTCATTCCGCGATGTCCTTGCTCTGCCTGGTCTCGGCGCCCCCCGCCATTGCCGATGTCGGGGTTCCGTCCCGTCGGCGCGGGTCGAGGTTCTGGGCGCTCGTCTTCCCCTCCCTTCCGCCGCCTTTCTTTGGCCGCTCTCGTTCTGCTCCGTGCCGCTCTGGGCGGTGCCACCGCCTGCCTGTCGCCCCTTCCGCCCGCGCCTCGCGTGCCCGCGCGTCTCGGCGCTTTGACTCATCCTTGGACCGAGCCTGGGTCCATTGGGGTGGGCGCCCCCCCCTTTGCATCCATTCCTCTGCTGCAATCAAACATATGATCAAGGATTCTATAAATTAAGAATGCTGGGCCAGCTTTCCAGCAATTTCTTAAGGGAACGCTGGGCCTGGTTTTGGAGCCAGGAACGTGCACTATTCATTCCTATTTCGCTCGTTACGACGATAACAGCAACTACTGAAAACATGCTGCAACCCTTCTTGTATTATTCAGTACATTTACTACTATTTTCCGTTACATTAAAATTCCCGTCGGGTCTCTGTGAGGTAATTGTCAAGCTAATCGGGACATTCCAACTCATGGTCCTTAGCCTTCCGGGAATTAGGTTTTAATGCATCAAATGCGATAGATACGCCTGGTTCAGAAACTAGGATTCAATGATGCGCCTGGTTTGCGAATTGACTTAAATATGATTCAATGGCAAAAAAATCAGACAACTTCTTTAACTAATGAAATAGTCGGGCCCGGGCTCGGGCTCGAGCTCGGGCTCGGGCCCCGGTTTCGGTTTCGGGCTCAGGCTCGGGCTCGGGTTCAGGGCTCGGGCTCGGGCTCAGAGCTCAGAGCTCGGGCTCAGGGCTTGGGCTCAGGGCTCCGGCCCAGGGTTCTGGAGGACTCAAGGCTCAGGGCTCGGGTTCAGGGTTCGGGGTTCGGGTTCAGGGCTTGGGCTTCGGGCGGGCTCAGGCCTGGCTCGGGCTCAAGCTCCGGGAGCGGGCTCCGGCTCGAGCTCCGGACTCAAAGCTCAGGGCTCGGCCTCAGGGTTTGGGCTGGAGGAGGATTAGTCAATGATTAATTCCAGACCAGTTAAATATAAATGATAATTTGTTATCTGTTAGTTAATAATACTTTAAGTGTCATCTAGTAATATTTAGTGTTCGACTTTGAGGCGAAAGGTCAGGTGGATCAGGAGCGAAACCTGTCATATTGACACGGTTTTGTGTGCCGCGGAAGGAAGCGAAACCTAAATACGCGATTTTGTGTGCCAAATGCTGTTGCGAACGGTATTCGCGGGCAACGGCCCTGCACGGAAGGAAGCGAAACCTAAATACACGATTTTACATGCCAAATGCCGGCCCTGCACGGAGGGAAGCGAAACCTAAATACACGATTTTGTGTGCCAAATGTTGTTGCGAACGGTGCTCGCGGTCAACGGCCCTGCACGGAAGGAAATGACATCTAAATGCGCGATTCTGTGTGCCAGATGCCGGCCCTGCACGGAATAAAGAAATTTAGATGTACGATTTTGTGTGCCAAATGCTGTCGCGAACGGTATTCGCGGTCAACGGCCCTGCGTGCAAAGAAATGAAGACAACATAAACGATTTTGTGTGCCAAATGCCGGCCCTGCACGGAGGGAAACGAAACCTAAGTACACAATTTTGTTTGCCAAATGCTGTTGCGAACGGTGTCCACGGTCAACGGCCCTGCACGGAGGGAAGCGAAACCTAAATGCACGATTGTGTGTGCCAAGTGTCGGCCCTGCACGGAAGGAAGAAACCTAAATACAATATTTTATGTGCCAAATGTTGTTGCGAACGGCCGACACCGTCATGCCTGTTCCTTCATCCAAACCGGAATCGTTCTTTTGGTTGAAACCGAACCGGCCCGAACCGGAACCGGAGGCTACCAATCCCATTACGAAACTGAGCCAGTTTTCCGGCAAGTTGGTCAAGAAACGCTGGGCCAGCTTTTCGGGGGGAGGTTTCTTAATCGTCGGCGGGACCGTACTGTTCTGTGCCGCTCGGCGCCAGCTTCAGCCACATCCTGCTCAGTGCTAGCCAGCACCAGCCTTTGTGCCCGCGGCGCGGTGCCTGTCAGTCATGGCATTCACCTTCCGTCTCCTCGCACGCGCCTCGCAGGCCCGCAAGTGTCGGCACATTGGCTCACCCCTGGACTGTGGTCGGTCCTCCGGGTTGGGCTATTCTTCGTTTTCTCTTCGCCACCAGCTGCAGCTGCTGGCTGCACCCCCCAGCTTCAGTTCAGCGCAGTTCAGTGCAGCGTGTGCCGGCGCTGCTCCCCCCCCGGCGCTCCCCCCGCCGCAGCCAGCAACTCTGAGTGGCCTGGCTTCCTCTCTTCCCGTCGCGCCGGGGCTCGTCCTCCTCCTTCCGCGCATTGCGGCCTCAATTTGCATACAGCGTGTCCTCTGTTGCCTATCCGTCGCAGCAATCGCCCTCTGCCCAGCCGCCGACGCAAAAAGTGTGTGTGTGTGTGTGTATGTGAATGAATGTGTGTGTGTGTGTGTGTGTGCGTGGGTGCGTGCGTGTGTGCGTGCGTGCGTGCGTGCGTGCGTGCGTGCGTGTGTGTGTGTGTGTGTGTGTGTGTTTGTGTGTGCGTGTGTGTGTGTGTGTGTGTATGTGTGTGTGTGTGTCTGCGTGTGTTGGCGCGGGTGTTAGTGTGCGGCGGCGGCGGCGCGTGTGCGCGCGCGGTGGTGGCGGTCGTGGTCGTGGTTGAAGTGATAGCGGTGGTTGCGGTGGTAGCGTGCACGCGGGCCCCCCCACCGCCTCTGCAGGATCTCCCGCGAAATCTGGAGGCTCTTCTTGAGCTCGTCCGCGGAGTCTGCCCGCGACCCGCTCTCTCGGCCAAAGGAAGAAGGGCGAGCGTGTACAAATTGTGTAACTCTCTTGCACAAGGTGTCTAGAGCTCCGACCACTTTATTTCGGCACGGCACCCCCTCCATCACCCACACATTCCATCAGCGAGCGCGCCCCTCCGCCCCCACCCCCTTATTTCGGCACGGCACACCCCTCCGCCCAAACACCTTTATTTCGGCACGGCACACCCCCTCCACACCCCCTCCGCATCCCCCCCGCTCACCAGCCAGCGCGCCCCTCCGCCCGACCTCTTCATCTCGGCACGACACACCCCTCCGCCCCGACACCTTTATTTCGGCACGGCACGCCCCCTCCGCATCCCCCCCCACTCACCAGCCATCGCGCCCCTCCGCCCCGACCCCTTAATTTCGGCACGGCGCACCCCCTCCGCCCCGACACCTTTATTTCGGCACGGCACACCGCCTCCGCATCCCCCCCGCTCACCAGCCAGCGCGTCCCTCCGCCCCGACCTCTTTATCTCGGCACGGCACACCCCTGCGCAGCCCCCCACCCACCAACCAGCGCGCCCCCTCCGCCCCGACCCTTTTATTTCGGCACGCCCCCCCTCCCCGCGCGCCCGCCAGCCAGCGCGTCCCTCCGTCTCGACCCTTTTATTTTGGCACGGCACACCCCTCCGCCCGTCCACTTTATTTCGGCACGGCACACCCCTCCGCCGCACCCCCCCCGCCCACCAGCCAGCGCGCCCCCCACCCCGCCCAGACCCCTTTATTTCGGCACGGGCCCCCCTTGCATCCCCCCACCCACCAGCCAGCGCCCCCCTTCCGCCCGACTCCTGTATTTCGGCACGCCCCCCCTCCCCCCCGCGTCCCCCCTCCGCCCCGACCCCTTTTTCCGGCCCGGCACACCCCTCCGCCCCGACCCTTTTTCGGCACGGCACACCCCTCCGCATCCCCCCCACCCACCAGCCAGCGCGCCCCTCCGCCCCGACCCCTTTTTCGGCTTGGCACACCCCTCCGCCCCGACAACTTTTTTCGGCACGGCACACCCCTCCGCATCCCCCCCGTCACCAACCAGCGCGCCCTTCCGCCCCGACCCCTTTATCTCGGCACGGCACACCCCTCCGCCCCAACACCTTTATTTCGGCATGGCACACCGCCTCCGCATCCCCCCTCACCACCAGCGCGTCCCTCCGCCCGACCACCTTTATCTCGGCACGGCACACCCCTCCGCCCCACCCTTTTTTCGGCACGGCACACCCCTTTCGCATCCCTCCCACCCACCAGCCAGCGCCCCCTCCGCCCCTTTCGCCCCGACCTCTTTCCTTCGGCACGGCACACCCCTCAGCATTCCCCCACCCACCAGCCAGCGCGCCCCTCCGCCCCGACCCCTTGATTTCGGCACGGCGCACCTCCCCGCATCCCCCCACTTACCAGCCAGGGCGCCCCCTCCGCCCCACGACCCTTTTATTTCGGCACGGCCCCCATTCCCTCCCCGCGCGCCCTGCGCGCCCCCTCCGCAGCCCCCCACCCACCAGCCATCGCGCCCCTCCGCCCCGACCCCTGTATTGCGCCCCCCCCCACCCACCCACCCACTCACAAGCCAGCGCGCCCCTCCGCCCCGACCCCTGTATTTCGGCGCGGCACACCCCTCCGACCCGACTCATTTATTTCGGCGCGGCACCGCCTCCTCTGCGAGCGCCCCCTCCGCATCCCCCCCGCCCTTCAGCTAGCGCGCCCCCTCCGCCCCGACCCGTTTTGTTTTGGCGCGGCACCGCCCCCTCCGCCCTGACCCCACCGGCCAGCGCGTCCCCTCCGCCCCGACACCCCCATCCCGAACGCCCCCTCCATCACCCCATTCACCAGCCAGCGCGCCCCCTCCGCCTCCTCCCCCTTCCTTTTGTGCACGAGCCATGGCGCGCGTGCCACTTGTTCTATATGTTTCTTAGTCGGCTCGATGTCCCTGGGAGGGCAGATACCTATGGCAATCGCTGGACCTTGACGGGGGCTTCGAAATATTTCAGAAGTGCGCCCCCTTCGCGCCTTGCTTTGCTTTCCTTGGCCTGGGATGTGGGCCGAACGCCGAACCGCGGCCTCGTGACCCTGATCCTCGAGTGCGGCAGGCCAGAAACGGCTTCAGTGATGCGACAGCGCAAGATGGGACGGTGATTTAGGCTGGGGGGGAGGAGCGAAAGAGGGTATGTAATGGAAAAGGGGGACGGGGGCAAGGGGCATAATTGAAGGGGGGAGGGATGAGGTACGGCAGATTCGCGTCGTGTCGACCCCGGCGTTGGTTCCTGACACCGAGGGGATCGTTCAAACCTGAACGATCGGCCCTTTCAGAAAAGCTGGATCGTTCAAGGATGGGCCGATTCTGGGCCACGGGCGGCGTTCAACCTGAAACGCCCGTGCTGGGGTCGCCGCTGGTCGACACGAGGGGAACCCACCGTAGGGGGAATGATGCCGCTAAGGACATCTTCGCATGCCTGCACGTCGCCCCTCATGCGCCAAGTTCGGCATGCCAGCCTAGAGCCACGTCCTGGCAGTAGCTGCCTTCTCCTCCTCCTCCTCCTCCTCCTCCTCTTCCTCCTCCCTCCCTTCCTCCCTAGCCGCCGTCCCGGTTCGAGGCTTTGGGTGCAGCGCCCAGGTACCCAGTACCGACGCCCTGCGAGCCTCCTCGGGACTGCTGCCATACGTGCCCGCCCGTCGCGCTCAGCGCGCAGCAGGGCAGCCGTGTTTCAGACGTTTGCCACGGAGACAGGCAGACGAACGCGGGTGGACCCCGCGTGGCATCGCCGCCAACGCCAAGCTCGCAGCCGAGCTAGAGTGCTAGTACAGGTGGCAGCAGCGGCAAAACTACTTCGACAGCACCATTCCAGTCCAATGGGTGCCAGACAAGGATCACGGCAATTCCAGAACAGAGGGGGAGGCACTAAGTCAGTGCCATGGCAGCGCACACAACAGAATTTCAAGAAGTTGTGGGAATGTCCAGCGTGCGCATGTGCCAACCCTTGGGATTCATACACATGTAAGAAGTGCTTTCCCTCCATGTCTCAGCAGTCGAGTGAACGACCATGGCGCACGAGATCAGCATCGCGTGCCCCGAGAAGACGAGCCGCCTCAGCTCAGCCAACACATGGAGATGCAGCAAAATCAACGGCAGCAGATCAGCAATAATCACAGGATGATATCATACCTTTGTTGCCGGCCACGCCTGATATTGCCACTAGTCACAAAAGATGGAGGGATCCGCCAGAGGATCCGAAATTGCTGGGAGAATATCGCAAAACTCTAACATCCACCATGGAATCGTTGGAGAGACAGATTCGTTGTGCAGACGCTCTCACATTAGATGCCCAGCAAATCTCGGCTTTGCAAGAAGAGTATGCAGCTGTGTTGTATCAGCTCATGCACAGCCGTTCGCCACAGGCAAGAATGACTAAACAAAGGTTATTCGTCAATCGATGTCGCAGACGCCTGACAGATGCCACTGCGAAGTTGAATCTATTGTACGAACAGATCGACGCAGCGGAAGTACAATGTCAGCATTTGCAAGAGGAAGTTACACCGGCAGAGCAGTTGCTTGAGCACTTCGAGGAGCTCGAGGATTCGCTACCAGTCATGTCAGCAAGAGCAGTTAATGATGAAGAAGACGATGATGACATTCGCATGGCCGAGGACGATGGTCCCGCAGGGCACTTTCGACCAGGACATAGAGCTCCAACACCTCAGTCGCCAGGTAAGGCATCAGTTGCCTCAACCGCCGCGACCGCTCCCTCGCGCACAGGCCATCACGCATGGCCCATGGCGTCAGGGAAAGGAGCCCGCCAAGCAGATGTAGCAGCCACCCCTCCGAGGGCCGCTGCGCGGCCTCATCAGCAGGTAACGCCACCTGGAGAGGCGCAGTCTGCGGCAGCGAGTGACATCGCCATGCCCACATTGCTCGCAGCACTGCAGCAGAGCAATGCGCAGCTGCTCGCCAACATAAGGAACTTCCAGACCGCCGTGAACACGCTGCAGACGGAGATCAGCACGCTCAGAACGGAGAAGGAGTAGGACATGAACAAGATGCGCCAGGCCGCCGTTGAGGCAGCCCAGCAGTCCATGGCGGCGCAGATGAACGGCCCCAAGAAGTACCAGCAGCCCGCCGACCCAGCCCGCATGGCAGCGCTGCTACGAGGCCGCGGCACAGCGAGATCAGCATCCCCGCGTCGACATGGAGATAGTGGGCAAGCAGGTGCCAAGACCATGCGCACAAGCACGGCAGGAGAAGGATCGATGGGAGCAGGGGCAGCCGACATCGCCCAGCGGGAGGCCGCCCAGGCAGAGGCCGCAGCCAGGCAGGCTACGGAGGCTGAAGCCGAGCCTGCAGGCAAGGACGACAGTGACAGCGAGCTTTTGGCCGCTGTCGCTGCCGCGCCAGCCAACGCACGAATTTTTCGCTAGGGGTCGTGTCAGAAGCGTCTCGACCCGTCTTGAATTCAAGTGCTCCCATCCAAGATCCTGATTTTCCAGCTAGCCCATTCTCCAGTGAAGGGGACAAACCAACGGAAAATCGCTCGGAGCACATCGGGTACCAGATTCAGAGCTACCCAGTGGAATCTACGCCAGGTGCCCCCTGCTCTCCCATACCACCGCTCCACTCTACCAAGAAGTTGCTTGAGAAGAAATGGCCCATCCAGCTTTCCAATGACTTGCTGTCGTGGGCTCAGTTTTGGAATTCATCTACAGTCTCAGCCTTCGCCAGTCTTGTTCCTTTCGACCCAGAGGCCCAGATCGACCATCTCAAGATATACACAGGTGCGACGGCAGGGGATTTCAAACATCAGGGGCAGATGTGCTCACCAGCATGGGCTTTCTGTGTTCTCGCTGTCACCACTCTTGGGGTCTCTTTCCTAGGATATCTAGCTGGTCCATTGCAGGGGTGGGATGCTTATGATGCGAGAACCCCGTTAGGAGCTGAGCTGGAAGCGGCCATTTGGGCCACAGCATAGCTTCTGCAAGCACC